CAGGTGAGACCCCCAAACCCCCCAAAAACCTGCCGGGCTTCAGGTGAGACCCCAAAACCCCCCCAAAGCCCCCCGGAACCTGCCGGGCTTCAGGTGAGACCCCAAACCCCCCCAAATCCCCCCGAATGTTCCCCCGGCAGCCTTTCGGGGAGCCCTAGAAGTGTCCAAAGGGGGCTGGGGGGCTGTGAAGTGCCGGGGGGTTCCCCGAAAGCGAGGGACCCCCAAACATCCCCGTCCCGCAGGCACCAGGCGCTCTGGGAGCGCTACATGGCCGCCATCACCGCCTGCCTGCTGCGCATGTACCACGACTGACGGCGAACGGCGCCCCGAAATCGGGCACGGCGCCCCGAGAACGGGCACGGCGCCCCAAAAACGGGCACGGCGCCCCGAAAACGGGAACGGCACCCCGAAATCGGGCACGGCGCCCCGAGAACGGGCACGGCGCCCCGAGAACGGGCACGGCGCCCCGAAATCGGGCACAGCGCCCCGAGAACAGGCACAGCGCCCCGAAATCGGGCACGGCGTCCCGAAAACGGGCACGGCGCCCCGAAATCGGGCACGGCACCCCGAGAACGGGCACGGCGCCCCGACAACGGGCACGGCGCCCCGAGAACGGGCACGGCGCCCCGAGAACAGCACCCCAAAAACGGAAACAGTGCCCCAAAAACGGGCCCGGACCCGGGAATGGACACAGCCGCAAAAGGACACAGCCCCAAAAGTGGCACCCCAAAAACGACCCCCCAAAAACGGACACAGCCCCCAGAACGGGGCGCCCCGAGAATGCGACGCCCCTGGGAAAGGATCCGGGAGCTGCAGCCCAGAGCTCGGACACCCCAAAGATTGGGGTCCAAATGTGGGACCCCAGAAAGGAGCGGGGCTCCCAAAAGCCCGACGGGATGGAGGACCAGCACCCCAAAATTTGAGTGTTTGGGGTTTGGAGAACCGCGAGCGCCGGGACGCCCCAAATGCAGAGGATCCAGGAGAGGCAACGCCCCAAATACTGGGACATTCGGAATGGGGGGGGACCCCAAAAAAGGGGTGACCCCCAAAACCGGGACATCCCCAAAACCAGAACCTCCCAACTTAACCTCATGGAGACTCCCCAAAATCGGGGGTCTCTGGCAATCGGGACTCCCCAAAATGGGGGAGAACCCCAAACCTCGGGACCCCAAAAGTCGGGGGTGCAATAAAGAGCTGGAAATGGAGCTCAGCTGGGGGCGTTTGTGGGGGGGACGTGAGGGGTCCGCGAAATTTCGGGAGAGGGGCGGGTTTGGGATGGGAGGGTCCCCAAATCTCAGCGAGGGGCTGGGGGGGCCCCAAAATCTGAAAATGAGGAGAGGGAAGTGTGGGGGTCCCCAGATCTTCAGGGGGGCGGGGCACTGAGGGGTGGGGGAGGGGCACTGGGGGGTGGGGGAGGGGCACTGGGGGGTGGGGGAGGGGCTCTCCCGCGCTCCGGGGCCGATTTTGGGGGAGGGGAGGAGCTTTGGAGCCTGGGGGGTGGGGCCAGAGCTGAGAGAGGTAAGTGAGGCCGCGGGGATTTTGGGGGGGGGGGGCGCCCCCCAACCCCTCCCACGGCGGGGAGCCCCCCGAGACGCCCCTCCCCCACAGAGACGCCCCTCCCCCCCAGGCCCCGGAGGGGGCTTTGTTGGGGGAGGGGCGTCCCGGGGATGGGGGATGGGGGGCTCCCAGGAGGGGGCTGGGCCCCTCTGGGGGGGTCGCAGAGTTTGGGGTGACCCCCTGCCCCCCCCCAGCGCCATGGGCCCCCCCTCGCTGCTCCTCCTCCTCTTCCTCGGCGCCACCGTGGCCCCCGCGGCCCCCCCGGACCTGGAGGAGCCCGAGGATTACGCGGTGGGGAAGGGGAGATTTGGGGGGGCTCGGGGGGGTCCTGGTCCCCCTCCCAAAACTTCTCTCCCCACCCCCCCCAACACCTGAGTGCCCCCCCAAAAAACCTCCTTGCCCCTCCCCCAGTCCCAAACTTCTGGAGTTGTGGGGGGGTGGGGGCGGGGCGGGGGGGGACACTGCGGGGTGGTCGGGGGGGGGTGACCCCCTCTCTCTCGCCCCCCCAGGAGTGCAGCGATGGGTACGAGTGGGACCCCGAAACCGAGCACTGCAAAGGTGGGCGAGGGGATCTGGGGGGTCCCCAACCCGCGGGGGGGGTTCCAGGGTCCCCGGTTTGTGGGGGCGGCGCGGAGGCTCCTTGGGTTTTGGGGTCCCAGGGGGTCCCCGGGAGGTGTTCGGAGGTGCTGTCCCCCCGCCCCCCGGGGATCTTTTGGGGGCTTTTGGGGCTCTCGGGGTGTCTGGGGGGGGTCGGG